CTTTATAGTAAAAATTAATTGAAATAACCATTAAAATGCTTTTTATTTCATCAGTTTTAGTAGCATTCATGTTGCACACGGGGGCTCATCAGTAGTGGGGCTGCATATCACCATCGTCCGTCTTTGTACGTCTCTATGGCTACTCGATTCATTCTGAATATCCAAAATTTATATTATTAAATTATTTTCTCTTTACAGGAGAGAATCCTTCAGATAAAAAGGCTACAGCTGGCTCGCTGTAGCTGCATGTACACCCGAGATGCCGCGGGTTTCTACCGGGCGTTGGCGGTCGTTGCCTTCCGCTCGTTTCCGTCGGTGATTTGTTTCCTTTTCAGTTTCTGAGTGTTTTTTCACTCTTTGTTTTTGTTTATCGATGGTTTCGGAACCAAGCGAGGCAAACAACTGCGGAGATACCCCGCAAGAATGGCTGAGGAGGCTCACCGTGAAAGTTGAACGTGATGCTAGTGATGCCGCTTATGATGATCAGCAGCGATCAGCGGCAGCAACGGAAACAGCAACTTGTGCTGCATTTTCTTCAGAAATTTCATCTTCAGCGCTGCAAGATGAGTCGAATAGAGGCAAAGTAAAGCGAAAAAAAGGGAGAAAATGGTCAAGTGGAAAGCCCCCAAAAGATGAACGGGTACTGATCCCAAAGGAAGCTCCGGTGTACNGAGAAAATGGTCAAGTGGAAAGCCCCCAAAAGATGAACGGGTACTGATCCCAAAGGAAGCTCCGGTGTACGTACCGGCTCTGGCGGCATCTCAGCTTCCTTTTGGTTCATCTCAGTTGGTTACGAAAGGAGAAGAATCATTTTCTTCTAATCAGCTGCAGTTGCTGGGTCTGGCGGGTCCGGGTGCAACAGGTTTATGGCGTTTGCATGCACGGAGCGGCATCAGCTATAGAAAGGGCCCCTTCACAGCTGAAGAACGTTTGATCATTGAGGAGGCTCTTGAGCAGTATACAGAGCGAGAAGGTTTCAGTTCTCTCGAAGAAGCAGTTAAGAGTTTAACGGGAAATACAGGAAAGAGAAACACAGGCAAATTCCAAGCTATAGCTCGTTGTCTCCCTGACCGCCCCTTTGTTTCTGTTTATGGATATATACGTCGCCGCATTGCAGGCGGGGTCAAGAGGGGCCCCTGGGGAGAAGAGGAAACGCAGCAGCTGCTGCAGCTGGCGGCGCGTATACCTTCTTCATTCAGAGGCAGGTGGGTTAAGATAGGGGGTATTCTAAACAGAAGACCCGCAGATGTCTGTGATAGATGGCGTACACTGCAGCCTAGACTTGCTGAGCTGCAGCAGCAGCTGCAGCAGCAGCTGCAACTGCAGCACGAACAGCTGCAGGCAATAGAGGATAAACCAGCAGCAGCAGCAGCCAAGGAAAGCGAAACCAACGAAACTACTGCAGCAACAGCAACAGCAGCAACAGCAGCAGCAGCAGCAGCAGGTGAGGATGATGGTATTAACAGTAATATGAGTGAAGAGGAGCGCATGCTGCTGCTGCAGGAGGTGCAGCAAAAGACAGGAGAAGAGCTGCCGGCGTTTGGTATACCCTGGCAACGTATTCAGGAGGAGAGGTTCCCCAGACGATCACACGGTAAGCTTCGTCAGGTGTATAACCTGCTGCTGCTGCCGCAGCAGCTGCAGCAGCGTATGGATACAAACCCTCGTCCTGTGGTGCTGCGGCACGTGCTGAGGTGTCTAGGCAGGTTGCTGCTGCAGGGTCAGCTGCTGCCACCAGGCCTCAGGGGTATTGAGTGGTTAGATATTCTTCCTTTTGTTCCTGCATCGCTGCAGCAGAGTGTTGTGAAAGAAGCAGCAGGAACTATGTTAAGAGAAGAGGGCTTGCAGCTAGAAGCAGCAATACCCAGGCTGCTGCAGCAGCACGAAGATAGACTGAATGCAACAAGAAGGAAAGACGCAGCTAAGCTGCTGCGGGGGGTTCTCCCGGTGTATGTACAGCAGGAGATACAGACGCGAGTGCATGCAAAAGCAGAAAAAAAAGGATGGACAGAAGATAAAATTAAAAAAAAAATAAAAAGAAAAAGAAGAAATGCTGCAGCAAAAGAACTACAAAGAGTCAAAGCTAGACTAGCAGAGGTCAGGGCCTCTCCTCTTAACGCCCCACCCCGGGGCTGCCCCCGTTTCCTGAATGAGGGGGGTGGGGATGCAGCAGAAGATACTGAGCTGCTGTTTGCTGCTGCTGCTGCTGGTGCTGCTGCTGCTGCTGCTGCTGNTGCAGCACTGCTAGCTACACCCTTCACGCATGCACAACAGGCGCAGCTGATGGATGCAGAACAAAATACAACAAACACAGCAGCAGCAGAAGCTGCTGCGAAGACTCCAGCAGCAACTGCTGCGGATGAGACTGCAGCAGCAGCAGCAGCAGCAGCAGCAGCAGGAATGACAGAAAGTGAACAGGAGGAAGAGGAGGCCCCAGATGAGGGGCTGGAGGAGGAGGAGAAGCCACTGCACACGGAAGCAGCAGCAGCAGCAGCTGCTGCTGCTGCTGCTGCAGCAGCAGCAGCAGAGAAGAAAAGGAAAAAGAAAAAAAAGACAAAAGAGAGAAACATTGATTACGCGGCTGTCACAAATTCAGAAGAAGAAGAAGATAAAGAAAGAGAAAAAGAAAAAGAAAAAGAAAAAGAATATAAAGAAAGAGAAAAAGAAAAAGAAAAAGAAGATAGAGAAAGAGAAAAAGAAGAAGAGGAGAGAGAAGAGATGCATGAAGGAGACGGAGAATGTTTGGTGGTAGCCCCGATGAAACAAA